ACCGAACAAGCTGTTGATTTATCTGAAAATGTGCTACCCTATTATTATGATTTGGAAAATTAAAGGGGGGTTCTGGAACACTGGGGCATGTTACTGTAGTGTGCTTATCAATCCCTTTAATTTTGTTAAATAATTCATCAATTAATAATTCAACAGAACTGCACGCCTCAGAGGGACGAGTGTAACTGGCGATAAAGGAGCAGGCTGGGCTGCAGCAAAGAKGACGACGGGTGATTAYCTTCAAGTCAATCTTTGCGTCATCAAATCAATCACCATGGTAGCCACACAAGGAAGGTATTCCACGGTTTACAACCAATGGGTGACCAAGTACTCGTTGTCATACAGTCTTGATGACAAAGTTTGGAAAGCTTACGAAGAAGATGGCGGCCTTAAGGTTGGTTGATCTTCTTATGGTTTTCATGATTACGCTTGAAAAAGTGGACTTCTTTAATTTTAAACGACTTTTTATCTTCTTTGATATATTTAGTATTTTTCATCTTGATTTCCTCAAGTATGTTAAGGCTTGAGTTATTCGGTCTTGACGCACGATCAGCTTGTATTGTCTGACTTTTTATCTGCTTTTGTCAAATGCATATATAATATTCTCGTCCAACCTTTATGGGCTTTAAAACTACTCACTTGCAACTCGCAGTTTCAAACTATACATAAAGGTCTCCCGTTCATATCATATATAGTACATGTCTTTTTTCAGGTCATTTATAGACCATTCCCCATCATTAAACGTGTCTGTATGCATTTCTCACGGAATGTCTCGTCAATTTTAATCAAAATGTTAAAACTTTATTAAAAGAGTTAATGGGGACGGGGTCCGAGAGATATGTACCAAGCTTGAGTGTGATAGCTTTTGCGATTTCTTGTTACTTGTTTCTATAATTTTTGACACATTTTCATATTTTTAAATTATGCTTTTCAGATTTTTTCTGGAAACAGCGATGAAACCACTGTTGTGACTAACAAGCTTGAAAAACCCATCAAAACCAGGCACATTCGACTGACAGTGAAAGGGTTTCATTCATGGCCCTCCATGAGGATGGAGCTGTATGGATGCTAAATTCACCACCGGGGGGGACTTGGTAGGTATACTCGACGGACGGATTGAAAAATGACCTTGAAAGGTTCGCATAAATTAATTCGGTCATCGATTCCARACCATAAAAGGTACGACCATTTTTGACGTCTTTAACAAGAGAGAAGCTCAAGTTTAACAAACTGTAGAAAATCAATGTCGATAGATTGTTCAGGTTAATAAAATCTATTTCTTTATTAACACTTCCTCAATTTTTTTTCCGTTCCTCGAAAATTGGCCCTAAAAGGTACGGAGTCAGTTTAGGACCCTAAAAGGTACGCGAGGGTTTTATTTTCGACCCTAAAAGGTCCGTCGAGCATACCTACTATGTTTTATAGGGAAGTCCCCCCCAGGATTCACCGCATGATTCACACAATATCCCAGGGGTATATATCTCCCAAAAAAAGTATTATTATATATAATACACACTTTCACGATATGTCAGCGTTTTGATAGGGATTTGCCGACATTTGTTGTACAATTGTATGCATGTTTAGTGAATTCACCGATCACTTCTTCACATAGATTAATCACCAAACAACTAACAGTTTTTGAGTGGAATTGGAAATTTCCGAGCAACAAAGAAAAGAAAGCCTATTTTTACTAAATTCATTAGCTTTCCTGATGAAAATATAAAAAACATAAAACACAAGGCAAGTTCCTACATATCGCAGCAATCGGTATCTTTTCCATACTCCACATCATAAGGAATGTTTTCGCTTGTCCGACGTAACAACAGTAAGTAGAGAGGTAGGACCGTATGAATCGGGATCGGTCAATTATTTCGTTTGCCTCACTAGCTTGCCTTATTGCAGCCACGATGCTGTTTGCAATAAGATCCCGTATGTCAGTAATCATCGTTTATTTCTTAGTACATTGTTCTTATTGTAAATAAGCTTTGAATGATCAATGCATTTCACGCATTAACCATAGACGTAAATAGAATAACTAGAAGTTTCTTCATACACGTATTTCGAAAGAAATCATCATAAATTGCTTACTAAGTCAATCATTAACCATAGAGATTTACAATGCCAAATTCTTGCTCAACAGCTATGTAGTGGGATGCTATGATGGGCATACACTAACAATCCCAAAAAATTGGTGCATTCAGTCTTATCACTTTTAAAATTCAAATTAAGATAACAAACTAAAATAGATATTTAACAATAGACTGCTTTAATTTTGTGACCATAATTCTAGTTGTTATTAAATATGCAGACAACTGCAATGCAATGATTCTTTATAGTTAGCTTTTGCTTTACTATAAGATCCTTTTAAGAAGACCTTAAGACACATTTAATGAGTGAGTTGACAAAACCATTTTCGCAGAGTTGACACCATTTGATCGAAATTGYTCYTGATAATTCTCGCACAAGTTTCTCTAAAAATGCGAATTTGTAAAGTATACACAATGAAGTTCAGGCATGAATTACTGAGAGAAAAACTACGACTCCACCAGTGTTTTACRGGGATTGTAGGACTATTAATGTCATTCAGGATTATGATATGAATGGGGAAAGTACAAATTGCAAAAAGTAAAATAAGAATTGCGACTGTTCTGGCGACTTGCTTTTCCATAGCAATTTGTGCCACTGTCTTTWGAGCATTTTCAGAGTCAGCCACAATGTTTGGAAACATRACTTTGTAAAGAATAACTCCATATGAAGAAAGTATAATGGCAACACTTGAAAAGTACTGTATGGATGTTAGAATTATTACTTTCATGGTAAAGGGGATGATCAAACAGCCAGAAAGTATCGCAGTTCCCCARCAAACAAACAGCATCTTCTTCCACCATCTCTTCATAATGGTCTGATGTTGATGAGGTCTTGTTGTCGCTATAACTCGATCGATGCTGATGGCTGCTAAGTGGRATATTGAGCTATAGMCTGCTACTACCGYAACAACAACGTAGACTAACTCGACTACTTTGTTGCATCGATTGACGATRGTAGTTAAGTAAAGCACGRAGCAAAGTATTGGACCTCCCAACCCCGATGCCATCAAATCGGCCACTGCTAGACTTAGTRGAAGAAGGCYTGAAATCTTTTGTCGCAGCTGAGGGGTGTCTAAAATAGCAGCAATAGTCAAGACGTTTCCAAACGTCCCAAAAACAGCCAGAAAAGCATTTATGACAATGAAAAGCTTGCCTTCAACTTGACCTGGAGACTGGCATTCGTTGGTTATGTMTCTATTAATCTGTGTGGCGTTTGTCAAGGAAAGATTCATAATATGAGAGGTATTGTGCATCTTGCTGAAGCAAYTTTTTGATGATTTCTGGACGATGTTTCAATTAATGGAGGTCTGTGTTTAAATGTTAAATGGATATTTCAAATTGMTGTCAGAATTTTCCTGGCGGGAAGRAKCTTGAAAACTGTAGTTTAATGATAAGACTTCAGAAAGGACAGATGCAATGAAAGTCTGACAGCTGTTATGTGAAAAGCTAAGTTGAGCRACACATAATATAACAGATATTTATGAAAAGTGATGCAAAACGTTTCYAGTAATTCACAATTCTCATAGAAAATAAAAATTTGTTTTATAGTTTACTGGACTGCGTTTTATTGCCGTCCAATTTACCTTTAGCCAAAAAAGAATGAACAAAAAGAAAATTACAAATCAAGCTAAAAGAAGGAAAGACATATATTGGTTCCATTAACTTCGTTACCTGTTCTACTGTAGGTTATCGAAAAGCATTTTTCAGCTGCTTGACTTGAATGAGAAAGATCAAAAACGGCATGTTTTCATTATAAAGACTTTAATAAARGGGAAGAACACCTCAAAATGAGCTACCAGCAGTTTTATATGTCTTCAATTTATCTTCAATTTCATTATTGTATTATCAGAGCTCCACTARCATTATATGTATTGAATTTGGCTTTTCATGTATATTTATGACATACTAAACGATGATAAACACGGATAATTTTAGAGATTAATCCAGTTTGTTCTTGTGCTTTGGCAAACCATGTAATCACGAAAATACAAGAAAAAAGAAAAAAAAATCTTTTATCATATATCTGATGATATCACAAGTTTTATAATAGTTGCATTCACTTGGTGGAAAAACAAAAAACTCGTCCTCATAAATGTATTTAAACATAGTTTGCTCTCGAGCACTTTGAAGTGCTTAAAATGCATTTCCTCCATTGGTAATTAACAGCTTACAGTGCAAATTTTGTAATGCGAAGGATAATGTGTCTAAACGTCAGTCAACCTGACGAAGTTATCCAAAAAACTAAACGTCAGGCAATCGATTTTTTAAGAAAAAYCGACAGAAAAAACATCATTTCGAGTAATAGAACAAAAACGGAAAAATCCTAAGAATGAAAATCATACTGTTTTGTCAAAGTTGTATWCACAAGCACGTTACTTTGAGAATTTTTGATTGATTTAACAAGAAATTTGCCAAGAAGTTGGAAATACATCAGTTTTGACTAATATAGATTCTATAAATAAAAACGTTGAC